TCGGCAGCAGTGCGGTGCACAATCTCTGCAGCGGTTGAAATACATGTCTTAAGAAGGTTTTACCGACAACATATATTGTAGGTAATTATGCAATGCGGCTTTGTACATGTACATATATACGACGCATTAACAGTACCTTGTACAGCAATGATTATTACAACAATTTGTCAGCTGCCTGTTTAGTAATTCAGTAATTGCCACAACATAGGGGCGAGGTGCACCATCGGCAATCGGAGCACTGCCCTTGAGCTCACTGCTGCTCGTTCTGCTCGTGCTGCTTAGAGCGGTTCGTGAGTGTTCATGGTTTAGCGGCCTATGTACTATCTGGAGTAGGCAGCAAATGAATAAAATACCTTTTTTTTGCGCCTTTTTGTTCTTAACCAGATGTCACAGCTAAGTTAGGGGCTGTTGTTAGGAAAGGAGCCCGATTGTTCAGAGACATGGGAAGTGGAATGATAGAAAACTCCACAAGCCTTTTTTTATTCTCCAAAGAGCTGGGAGTAACAGTGCTGTGTTAAAAAAGAAAGTACGACTCGGAAATGCAAATGTCCTGGAAGCTTTGTGTCGATGGAGCCTAATTGGCTATTCGCCTGATTACAGAGAAGAGGTTCCTTCTGAATAATTTTCGCGGCTGTCCACCGGTTGTGCGGTTTTTTTCGCAATCTTTTTTGTTGTTGTATTGTTAATATTATTCCAACCTTGTTCTTACTCTCCAAGCCTAAAATATTCATGTTTTATTGCTAGGGACATTCAAATGTAATGGACGTGGGAGAGAAATGTTTCGTGGTTGCTTATAAAATTGACAAAAAGAACAAAACATCATTTGAAATATATGCTCTGAAGTGCATATATAAAAGGCACGTTTGAGTGTTGCAGCAGAACAGATGATGATGATGATGATGGTGATGATTTTGCTTAACTATTACCACGTTTAAGATTAATTGGCCCGCAAAATTTTAACAGCTTCAAATTGTTAATCATAGCAAATTAGCGCCAGTAAATCTCAATTAACTGTTTAACCCGCCGTACTTTTATTCCAGCCGAATAATTTCGGCAGTAAAAGATGAAATAAAAACTTACAACTTCTTTAACGATATATATTTTTTTGCTAAATGTCCTTCTAACGCTTTACAAAAAAAATATGATAGAAACAAAAAATGGTTAAATAAGGTTTTTGTGCAAATGCGGTCGCGGTATATATTTTTTCCCCCTCCCCTCCGCTCAGCACTTGAGCCAAGTGCACTGTTTTGGATGCATAATTCAAATGCCCTGCAGGCAATGCTTTCAAGGTCTGCCTTGCCTCGGGGAAGGAAGAGACAACAGCTGTTAAGAGGCACTGATATCGCGCTAACGCCCGGACAAATAGAGGCGACCGTCCGCTGGAACCCCGCTCATAAATTATTATCATGCACAGTCGCCCGTGCTTATATGTCGGCGGGCCGGGACCTTGCATTTCAGTCCCCCCCCCCCTTCATCTTGGTCTGTCCGTGTGCGTGTGCGTGCGCATGCGTCTCCCGGCCGTCTGTGTCCTGCATTCAAACTTCAAAGTGATTTTTGGATAAAGGGAGCATTGAGGCGTCGCTCACCTCCTGCTTACAGCCCTGAAGTCAGTGGTGGAAATTCCACATTGATATGGCGTGGACGAGTCCATCCGTAGCCAATCACCGTTGACTTCCACACAGTGTCACACCAACTTTATCGACTGCAGAGGGATGATGGGTTTTGATTGCGAGCCGCTCGCTCTGGCGATGAGATGCCTGGCCAGATGTGTGTGTGTCTGTTGGACTTTGTAAACATTCTGTTTCTCTTCTCGGACTGCTCAACTTTGGCATTCCATGCCACCGTCTCTTTTCCCTTAGAAGTTCTTAGAATAACCTTGTGCTTTACATAAGTGATGATGATAATGACGATGTCAGCACCACGCACCAAATCTTACGAAAGCTATGAATTTACCGGGCGTCTGCCACCGAGCCAACGCTCATCCTCAGCATCCCTGTTCTATCCTCTGATGGATGAAAGCTTCTCAACATTGTCACTGTCCCCTATGGTCCAACTAAACCACGCATCCATCTCACTCCTGCACATGAGCCGATCTCTTTGCACATTCCCTGTGGTGGTCATCCTCTGGGGCGTGTTCCCTGCTTTGGTTGAAATTCTGTCGCCAGACTCATTCATCGCGCAGCATCCCTGCAAAGGATGATGGCCGATGATCGTTTGCAACAATTTCACACTCACAAGTTTAGTTTTTTGTTGTTTTTCTGAGGTCTTAAAGCAAGCGATCCACCACCTCGTATCAAAATCGGCTTCCACAAAATTACGTCACAAAACCACTTCCAAAGATAATGACATATATCTCATTATCCACACTGTATGTGCTTGTGCGAAGAGGGTTCATCACTTGTGAATCGCACATTTTTTTTTCTATTAATTCCCAAAGCTAGAAATTGGCCAAATCTTACAGGTAATTTTTCTTTGGCTTGCAGTCCTTGGAATGGTAACTTATGCAGGGGGCGAATCTTTTCACGAGACTTGGGAACGCCGTTTGATCGCGAGCAGGCTTCGCTAGGATTCAAACCTAGGCCCTGAGTAGCGTGGGGGGCCAGCTCAGCGCTCTCATCCCCGCGGCCACCTCAGCGCTCGACATGTTTTGCTCCCACGAGCGGCTGTCTCGCTCGCGCGAAGAGACAGAGGGGTGCGAGAGGGGGAGGGGGGGGGTGGCAGATTAGGAGGCGACGTTTAAAGCGGATCTCTGATTTCACATCACGGGTCCCATTTTTGGGGGGGGGAAATTAGGGAAATGTCACCAGGAGGTTGAAACCGCGTCGTCACACGTGGGATTTGCGCGACGGAGGCGTAAACACGCGCGCTCTTAATTCGCGGTGTCTAAACACGGGGACTCTGGTCGAATTAGCGCACGCCAAAGCACACATTTCCCAGCATGATCACTGTAATGCTTTCTGCCATGCATGCACAAACCACCACCCCCCCCCCCCCGCCCGCTCCAGCACAGCCACATAAATGTTATAGCCTTTAAATGAAAGCTGTATGGAAATTGCAGTGATACACGGCGCATTCATATTAGCTCCGTGGTTTTTTTTTGCGTAGAAACTGTTTTCCCGTTGCTTAATTCTTCACCGGCATTCCCTAGCACTGTCTCTATGCAGCAGCTCACACTGTGCTACGGGATACGCTTGATAGTTATCATATGAATGTAATATACAACAACCCTTTTTGCTGGGTAAAGGCCTCGCCGTACTTTCTCGGTCATGGGGGGGGGGGTTGCTTGACCATTCTTCACGACGACGGTCAGTTCTGGTTGCTGAAGTGGGATGGGGGTAGTGGGGGTAATGGCCCAGAACTGGTTGAGATATCACCTGGCATTGATGTTAGCCATGGCTGAGAATCGAACTCGGGTAGCTAGGATAATGCACTGTGACGCAGCGCTCACCCGGAGTTTATCCTGCGTAGAAAATTTGCCTCCGATGTTAGCTAGCCGTGGTCGGGCGTCGAACTTCAGGTTGGCGGGTTCAGAGCGCGGCACGCCAACTGCTGCGCCGCCGTTCTGCCTTGATATTTATATATTTATATATATACACACGTTTAATTTGTTCCCGGGCAGTGTGCGGCACGAGTCGTTTTTCTGCGCGGAAATCAATGCGAAACAATTGACATGTTCCTGAAACTTATCGAGCTGCCCTTTCACAGATGTAACCCCGACCCATTTCTTTTACACATTTGGCTAGCTAATAGGTGTGCCCAATTCAGATGACACACGCAGTATGACTCTGTTGTGGCCACTCCAGACCGCTGACGTGATTCCCAGCGCCGGGCTCCCTAGAGTTTATTTTTTTGTTAGCGTTGTCACCGTAAACTCTGACCCCCCCTACACCCTCCCCGCCACCCCAAGATGCACATTGCACGGCGTTATTGGCAACACTTTAACGCAGCCATCTATCTTGGCGCGAGCGACGTTCTAACCGAGGTTAGCATGAATGGGGGGAGGGGCGATCTTTGTGGTGAAGGAGCTGAAATTGTACCCTGCTTGCAAAACTCGAGCAGCGTGTTGTTGGTAGTTGCATTGAGAGCACGTTTTATATATATATTTTTTTCTCCTGCCATCCTCAATTATTCTAATGTAGCTTTGGGGTATCCCCCCCCTCCATACTTCACCATCTTGTTCAGTGAAGGTTGCTGATGTGGGGGTGGGATGGGCAGGGGGGGTGCAGGGACCAGTTTGGGTATCACTTGTCGCTGACGTTAGCCGCGGCTGGTAACCGAACTCAGATCAGTGAGTTCATCGGGCAGCGTGTGTGCTAACCACTGCACCACCACTCCACTCCCGAATGTGTGTGTGTATATATCAATATAAAATGATATATATGACCACAAATTCAAGCTCACTGATTTCTAGCAGTACACCCAGGCAGTGATGCAGCATTTATTGAAAATGGTGTAAATTGAAATGTATTGATTCTTGGAGCAACAGTTTACTCATTTTACCGGTTCTCAGTAGGTACAAATATTTTGCGTTGCTCTGTCTCAGAGAAAATGCTTTAAGATAAAATAAATGAACACTTTTTTATGACTCGCCGCAGTTTGTTTCCGCAATAGCTCATCGTCCTTGCCTTTGGTTCCAGACGATGCCAGTTCCAATGCACGTTAAGGGGTCTAAGAAAAGCCCTGCAGGGAATCTTTCAGATAAGGTCACTGTCTGTCGACTGCATGACCATGGGGATAGATCGGTGGCGCAGCGGTTAGCGCACTGGGCTATGAAGCAGACCTGGACCACCTCCTCCCTCACCAACCCGGATGGTGAAGTATGGTCAGACAGCTCCCGTGACCGATGCAGCGTCGGTAGAGGCCTTTGCCCAGGCGTGGCATTGACAAAAATCCGTGCGTTGTTATTTTAACATTGTAATGCTTTTAATTGTTTAGTTGTATACGTGTATGCGGAGCAGCTTCCAAGACTAAACTTCACTCTGTCCTGTGTGCTTCCGCAGGGGATGGGATGGACAACAGTGTAGCCTCCGAGGGCACGGGAGACGATGACGATCCGGACAAGGACAAGAAGAGGCAGAAAAAACGTGGAATCTTCCCCAAAGTTGCGACCAACATCATGCGCGCCTGGCTCTTCCAGCATCTGTCGGTAAGCAAAATGCTCCTTCGCTGCCGCCACCTCTTACCCATCGTGATTGCGTTGTTATCGTTTTGTTTGTTTTGTTTTTTGCTGTTTCTGTTTCCCCGATGTCATCCCGTCGTGATGTGTGGGGGGCGTCCATTCAGCGATCGAAACTTCCCCGTGTTAGAGTGTGGTCCGTGGAAGCATATGTCACTGAACTACTGCTGAGATCGCTTCAAGTAATGTCATATCACCGCAATGAGAAAGCACATTCCCATCCCAATATTTTTGTATTCTCGGAATGGGAGTTGAATCAAATCAAGAGCAGAATTGAATGCTATATGATGGCTGTTTTCTGTACCACTATACGGCATGTAAAATGTAAGTTTTCTAGGTCTTGTAGAACATTAAAATTTACGTCACTCGGTCACCCAATCATGAAAATCTATATGTATTAGATATAATCCGAAAACCTTCAGCCCAATCGGTGGGCTCAGTATTTAAACAAATTAACTCCATTTAATATCTGCAGGTACATAATCACGCTTTCCTACAAATATTGTGCAAAATTTTACATTAATATTAATTCATAATATGCATGAAGATGAAATGTGCGCTTATTAATGTGTTTGGTGGCACGAATCAGCTTGCAATTAATTCACGAAGAGGAAAGAACACACACGCACATTACACAGCCTTGCTTTTGAATTTATTTACATTTACATTTCAGAGCGGTCAAACGCATCTGAATGGTTCGTCTTTCTTTTAAAGAGTGTCAAATGTTTTCTATAATGGTAATTCACGTGACACTGGATGCGAATTTCTAATTACACCAAAGGATGACACACTGCGGGAAATTGTTTAGCATTTCAGTCGGATGTTACAATTTAATGAATTGGGGGGTGGAAGCAGCATCTCTTATGATATCAGCAGGACGTCATCTTTATTTATATATATGTATAAAACAAAATATATGAAAAGCAGCAAAAAAATATTCGCTGATTTTCTTTTTCACTTTCCACCCCGCGGTTGGATTTTAACAAATTCATTAGCGGCGATAGCAGGCGATGTGAGGCTGGAATGAAAGCAGCAAGGGTCTGTGGTTGGGTGGGTGGAGGGGACCAGGGCTGGGGGTGAGTGAGTGAGTGAGTGGGGAGGGAGGCGGGGAGTCGTGGTGGTGGTGGTGATGGTGGTGATGTGTAGCGCACTTATTCTTTCAAAACTTCCTTTAGTTAGGGGAAGAAAGAGCACAGCGGTGGGGTGTGCACACCCAATGGGCTAGGGTCCCGCAGCCGAGGGGGCTTGTGATGGATGCTCGCTCATTGGAATAGAAGCCCTCGCCTCTAAGCCAATAACGCGTTAATTGGGAAGCTCATGGGAAGAGACAACTGTGCAGCCTGTTGCCGGCATTTCTCACGTGCTTACCTGTCGGGAGATGCACAGGGGTGAGCTTGCCAAGGTGGAACGCTCTGCGTAATATAAGCGGAAGATATATGTTGCCTACCTGTATCGCGCGTTGGGGGGTAAAGCGGTGGGCGCGATGATTAGTGCAGTGTCTTGTGAGCCTGGAATCGTTGTAAAGGCTTTCGGCTGTTGTGAGCGATGGGCAAGCTGGGCCTGGAGCCCAAATCTGCACTGACTAGCGTGGTGAAGTATGGTCAATAGGATCACAATGGTAAGGTGAAGCCTTCAGCTAGCAGTGGAATGAGAAAGGGGCGTTACAAGACATGCGTCATGTGGCTGGGTGGCACAGCAGTGGAATGTACTGCCGACAAGGTGTAGGCCCTGAGTTCACATCCCAGTCTGGGATGTCAACTCAGGTACTTCTCTAGGCAGAGTATAAAATTAGTAGCACTTTGTGGGGAATTGAACAGCAATTGTTCTTTAGGAGAACTCAACCCCGCCATAGGTATGTGGAATTGCCACCATTGTCTTAGGGCTGCAGGCAGCGGCGGAGTACTGACTGCCTTGCACTCAGTTCAGCAGGAAACCCACTCTGCCTTGTTTTTGTTGTGAATTAAATGGCAGAGAGAGCATCCTCTTACAGCGAGCACTCTCTCTATGTGTATTCAAAATATAAACGGCGTTACTTTGTTATTGTCTGCTCTTACAGTGGCGCACGTCAAATAGAATGGAAATTGGTAAAATGTTGAAGAATTGTCCCCCAAACACGGGCAGCAGAGTTATTTGTGAATTGTAAACTCGCTGAACCAATGCCATTTCACGTCAATAGCCTCGACTCTCCATGGATTCTGTTTTTTTTATTGCATTCCAAGAGCATTCACGTGAAAGTTTATTGTGGAGAAGTTTATAGTTTACAATGTTTATTCCTTGAGAAAATTATATTTAAAAATCGTGTTATCATCATCACCCATGACTATTCTACCACTGCATGAGGGTTTCCCCACGCCATCACCATCTCTCACGATTCTGCAATTTTAGTAACGCCCCCCCCCGCCAGCGTGATTTCAACGCTCCATCTCCTGAGAGTGGCAGGAGCCCTCGGACACGTTCCATCCCTTAGCTGCCGCTCTGTCGTTGTTCCTGACCGCAGTTCACCATCATCTTCTCACGACGTGTCCTGCCCGAGCCCGCAGAGTGTCCCAAACACTTTGAACTAAATTATTTTGTCAGCCTACCAAAAAGCGATGCGAAACACGCGGGTTGATGTTTCGATGTCAATACGTTACCAATATTGCAATGAAGTGTTCAATGTAAATGCATGCGAGGCTATTAGTTGCTGCTTCTAAATATATAATACAACGGGTTTTTTTCCTCCCACCCCACCCCCCCCATCCTCCCCCCCCACCCCCGCTCCCAACTAAGCCATGGTAAAAACGTGAGATTTTCAAGTACACAAAGAGCCCTCAGTCTCAATTAAGTGGAATACACGGGGTTCTAGTGGATTGTAGCTTTGCAAATGATGCATCATTGTGCGAGCGGTGTCTATTGTGCAGCCAGCCACAGCTTAGGCCTTGGAGTCATGCTCGGTGCCAGAATGTTGGGCAGTTAATGTATCCAAGGCCAAAGGAATAGCGGAGCGCTCAATGCGCTCCCAAACTCGTGACTACGCGTGGTGTGGAGAAACGGTGAAATAGCCACCCATTAATCCAACCCCGGGTATCACGCTGGGACCTCTCACAGACCCAGAGGCCCCCTTCGTTACCGAGTTTTGCTGATGGGCTGAGACCACCCCTGAAGAGAAGCGATGCTAAAATGTGGATAAACGGCGAGTTTCTTTTTCGGTTAATAATCGGCACCGAAGATCGCTCATCAGCCGTAAGGAAGAAGGACGAGACCAAGGATCGCTGTGTTTTAATTGTTATTTCAGCAGAGAGCAGTTTATGGCGATGCTGCCACCCTACATACCCCTTGCGAGACATCGCAGGAGTACGTAGACATCGCAGGAGCTTGGGTGATGTTGTGAAGTCGTTTTTGTGTTTGTTCATACAATAATGCTCAGCAGCAACTCCTCTCCCCCAATTTTTTTTTTTTTTTTGCCATACACATTTGCCCGATTGTCCTATCATGATTTTATTTATTTATTTGAGAGTATATTCTAAATTGTATGCATGTGTGTATGTTGAACTTATTTTGCACCGTACGTAGCTGACCGTGTGAGAATATTGAGAGTGAAGCAAGGTTAGCAGGAAAGCTCCCCGACGATGTCCGGCGTTTTGTCCCACTTGCCGGGAGCGTCCTCAGGTCACTTCCTTGAAAGCCACGTGGCACAAAGCCTTAAACTCAGATGATTCCGAGTGTCAAGCTTGAACTCTAGCTGCCTAGTTATTTTTTCCCGATTAGCACCGGTTGGCTATGTGCGGGTGCAAAAGAAATTCAACGTGCGTACGTAAATCACTAGGCCTCAACCAACTTACAATTTCCAATTCGCACATATATATTTATTTATTTATTAGGGGGCACCTACTTATTCTGGCCTGCTCTGTACGAGCACCCACTCTGCGTGATTCTCTCGTTTCGCAATGGGCAGGCATTACCGAGTGGCTGAAATTCCGCTTTTTATTTTTTTTGTACGTGCGCGCGGGTTCTGACCGATGCTAATAGTTTCCTACTGAGTGGCCGTATTTACTCGGCAAAAAGGACCGGGTGGGACTGCTTAAAACAATGCGGCGACTCACAGCCCCAGACGTGTTTTGTCTGCGTTTTGTTCCGTTTTGCTGGGCCTGGGGAAAATGTTCTCCACAATCTCTCAGAGAGAGAGAGAGCGAGAGGGGTGGGTGGGTGGTTGGGTGGGTGGTTAGGGAGAGAGCAGAAGCAGTGCCACTGGCTAATTGCACCGGGCGCGGAATGCGTTTTGTCTTCCGACAAGTTCCAGCAATTAAGGCTCCCCGGCATGGTCGCACTGCCCACACCCGCAGAATGCAAGGTTACATCAGTCGAAACGCGGGAGTCTGATTTCGACACGCCGAGGGGCGCGACGCGGGTATGACGCTGGGCGCGGAGGAAAGTGTCCAATTATCGCAGCGTTATCCTTGTTTGCGTTTAACGCGGCGGCGACGGTGGCCTTGCGTGGGCAGCGTTTGACGTGAGGTTTCAAGGAAAGCGTGACGTTACATCTTCCGGATGAAAGCGGCCACCTGGACGGCCATTTGCGGGGGGGGGGGGGGGGGCTCACGCAAGCGTGCACGCGATTTGGGCCATGCTGAGCTAAATGGGGTTTGAAAGAGGGAGGGAAAGGGCAGACGGTTGGATCAGTTTTAAAGTAGATCTCACCAAAAATGGTGTGTCCCGTACAAATTAGGGCCCTCCTAGAAATTGCTCATTGCCCCCGAGGGGCAGGGCACCCTGCTGGTTTAATACAGTGGTTCTCAATCAAGGGCAACTTGGTTTGGGCTTTTAAAAAAAGCATCCTTGGGGGGGTTCGTATGCAGTCGGCTGCCTCACCACGGCGTTTTCAGTCAATACGCGCGATGATTTATTGCTCCTTGCCGCCTCCTTGATGTGGTCTTTCCAAGTGAAGGAAGTACTGAGTGATTTTTTGATTTTGACGCAGAGCCATGAGAGGA